TCAATAACCAGATGGTAGGAGTTCGAATTCTGGGTACATGATGTGTGAAGGGTCTGAAAAAGTTTGCTGTGCTTGTCTAAAAACAGACTGTTGATACTTTGACTGCAGGGAAGAGTTCTCTGTCCTTCCTTCATCCTCCATGGCTGTCTTCACCAGCTGAGCAAGCTTAGTTTTAACTGGATTACCGTGCCATGATGACATATACCCTTGCAATGCACTGGCGGACCACTAGAGGTACGCGTACCCCCGGTTGGGAATCACTGGTCTAAATGAATGCCTAGATACCTGTAAACGCTGACCTGATTAATCTTTTCATCACGGATTACCAAGGGGGTACGATCAGCAACTGAAGGACGATTGATTCCCACTTCCTCAGTTTTCTTTTTAATAATCTAAAGCAAATTAACATCAAACCAGTGGACAAAAGACTTCGCCTCATTAAAAGAAAGTAATGAATCTGTTTCCCTTGGGATTGACTATTGCCCACAACCCTGAGGAAAAACCTGTGCTGAGTTTTATTTTGAATCAGAAAAAGTTGTTTAGTCTGACATTTTGAATTATGTTTTTTGAAAAGGAATAAAACAATTTGGTTATTACAGGCTATACTGATGGGTGAATATGTTTTTAGATAAGTAAATGAGGCTGCAACGTGTTAAAAGCAGAACTAAAATCTATAAATAAGAGACATGCATAGGCTTTTGGGCCTTCAAGGTGTTTTAGATGAGTGGTAACCATTTATGGCATTTTCTGTGCCTCGCCCTCTCCTAGAAGCAAACTACAGGGGATAGACAATATTTATTACTGACTTTTTCATAACCGCTTCTACTACATTTTGCACCATATTTATTAATTTGCACTGCACCAAACCTTTCCATATCAATGCCTTTTGCACCATGACTTTAAACTGGCTTCCTTTTCTACTACACTGTGTACATTATTGATCATTGCTGCACTTTATAAATGGCAATGTTCATTTCACGGTTGTAAGCTGTAAAATTACTCGAAGTCTAAGTGTATTTAGTTCACAAAATTTCAAAACAACTGAAGTTAAATGAATAGGTCCAACATTTTGCATTAATAAATATTTCTAACTAAGTGAATCTCTCACAAACAATTCCAGCATGTTGCTGTAGTTTAGTGTTTATAAGAGAAACACGCTGACAATTACATATTAGTGTGCCGTCGCAACTGAAGTGACTCCAGCTTTCAATTAACACAGGAGGCTTGTCAGCGACTGACCAATCAGACAACATTTTAGGGAGGTGGCATTACGAGGGCAAAGCAGTAAAAAAAATGTTATCTAATAAATGGTAATTTTTTCACTCTGGACAGTTAGAATTAGATTCTCTTATTTAGTATTGATAGGGTTTCCAAAACCAAAAAGAAGGAGCCTTGAAAAATGTTTCTGCAAATGCAACACAAATGCAACTGCATTAGAGGCAATGGGGTAGCATGGGCTTCAAAGAATCATACACAGCCTATTTATATAATCCAATAAAAAACAGTTTATGTTCACTCACAGCCAGTTTGACTTTGTGTTCTTATTCTACCTCTCTTTGGAAAACGGTTTTAATTTTTACACTTTAAAATAACTATACTGAATTAGTGTGGAAATGTCTTGGTTTAGTTTGCTGATCAGGAGAAATGTGCCTAATTAAATGCCTTAGGTAACGCCATATTTCTCTATGATGCTGGCAAAACATCCTGCGACATACAAATGGCTTCACGTCAATTATTGATAATGTTAAAATAATGTTTTTTAGTGCATCATTAAAGGCAGTCCCTATACCGCTGGAGTTCAGCAAGAAAAAAAAAACAAAACAAACCCACAAGGGCTCTCAAGACTTGTAAACTGGACACTGCTGGGAAACCAGCGTCAAAACTGTTCTCTAAAATTGACCCATTAAGCCGAACAGAAATTAGCGCATAAGTTTGAGCCAAACACCCAGTCAGAGTGAGGCTTAGCACGAAAGTACAATGTAATGGCTGTCAAATCATAGTGGTGGGAACTTTAAACTGAAGGTTGGGACTTGGACACGGTATTCTAACTGGACAGTAATCCAAAATATACATCTAAACTGGTTTTGATGATTAAAAAACAAATGAGCACAAAGCGATCTTGGATAGCTTTCCCAAAGCCAAGAACTTAACCCTGTGTAGAACCATGCCAGTCCAACTTGTCATAGAACACAAACCAATCGTCAGTCATGATGTTTATACATTTAACCATTAATGCATAATTTTGACCCATTATTATGCAATGAAACTCCTTTTTTTTTTTTTTTTGACAGAGAAACCTGTTAGCTTTGTGGCAGCAGTGATTTTCTACATTGAAAATAGGATTTACACTCCAGTTAAGACAAAATTAATTACTGGACCTAAGCTCTTTTTTCCTCCTTCAGATAAATGTTTATTTTAGTAAAGTAAATGTAATGTTGTTAAACCATAAAAAAGATTAAAAACAAAACAATCTGGTTTTTTATTTTCTGTTTCTAGGGCCAGCTTTGTAGAAGTTGGGCTATTTACAGTTAAAGAAAAATGGTTCGATTTCCTAGGAAAAAAAATCATCTTTTATTTTTAAGAGTACTTTCATATGCTCTTTTCTCAGCAAAAGAATTAAGTTTTGCTTTGAGAAGTTGAATAAAAACAAAAGTTAGTACTTTCAATTTCATTTTTTTTAATCAGCTGTTCATGATTTCTTTAACTGCTGCTGGGAAGGAGCAGCGGAGTCTGAGGTGAAAATATGATCTGTTTGCAGCGTGAAATGTCCTCCAGCTGCAAATAAAGTACGGAAAAACGGCAGATGTTGATCTCACATTCAGATGGGGAATAACCCAACATGATATCACTCTACTAAGTTTTTTTATTTTTTATTCTTTCTTTAATCAGTTTAGTATTTGCCATTGCAATAAAGAAATAATGTACTGTACAAATAGAAATGAAAACAGGAATAGGTAAAAACTAGTTTATTTTGTCGAAAAAAAAACCCAAACAAGTGAAAAAATCTCATTCCTTTTTATTTATACGATCATCACTATAAATATTATTACTATTATCATTGTCATTGATAATCTTCAGTTCTAATTGGTGAAAAACAATAAAGAAAAATCACTGAGCACCACTTGATTTTAAGTTCATGAGCAGGTTGCTTGATATTCTCTGCAAACATCTTAGTGATCTTCAGGCGTTTCAGTGTTAAAAAACATCCTGGACTCAAACGGATCTGATCTGAATGGAAGCCGAGCTTCATTTCCAACATTGTCACGTTAATGCCTCTGTCCAGCAGGACTCCAAATGACAACACATAAAACCAAAACAAACATCTAAAAAGTGACTCATTTTTCTTTCCAATACAACAATAATAACAATAATCATATCTATAATAACAATTTAGGATAAAAAAATTGCACCGTATTGTGGAAACCGTTATTAGCTCTGCTCATGTTAAAGAGCAAAGCATGGGCATTTCAAGTTAAAGCATCACAATTAAAAATGAATTTTCCATCTAACTGCTTGCACTGAGTCATTTTTCTCTGCACATTTAAATGTCTTCAATAAGAAACACATTTTACAGACATAAAAAAAATGATATTTTAACCGGCATAAGCATCTTTTCTTTTTTGCTTTCAGACATTTTTTCTTCTGTTTTTTCTTCTCATATAAAGTATGACTGATGTCCATTAATGATAAGCTGTTAAACACAACTCCATTAAACCCATTTATCTTTTACAAATATAACCAATATATAAAACTTAAAAAAATTAGCATTTTTTTTATCACAAAAAAGAGAACAGAGTAAATGAAGAACAACCTCAGTACCAAAACAAAAACTATTTTTGTACCTTCTTTTGACAGTTTTTTTTTAAACAAAGTATCTTTTAAAACAATATGACAAACTTGTAAGACATTAAGTCTAGGAAAATTTACCTTTAAAATCTGAACCAGATACTTACAGTTGAAACCAGATAATAATCTATATTTTCTAAAAAAAAACCACAAAACTGTTTATATTTAGTTTCAGGGCAGTTAGTTTTACCAGTATTTTTAATATTTGCTAAATCATGGAATAAAGTAAGTGAGGCGTTAGCTTTTAGAATGGTCTAAAAGGCCACTCAGTGAAGAAGAAGTCATGACCCCAATAGATTACATTGTTGGACATGTTACCTGTGGTCGGATGAAGCTAAAAATACATTATTTAGCCATATAAGATGACATAAAGTGGAAAAAATATAAATTTGTCAACAACCTCTAAATACAGTATAGCAAGCAGGAAGTTAAAGTGTGGGCACAAACAAGTCTCTAAAATGGTCAAAAAACATTAATCAATCACCCATTGAATATGACAATCTTTTCTGGTTTAGCATCAGACTATTTTTGAGATTGAATAAAATATTATTGGCATCATAAATAACAATATCTCCTGTGACTTTCTGGCTGCAGGAGGACAAAATGGAAAAGATTACACATGCAGTGTTTTGATTGGCTGACTAAGATAATATGAGCACCTGTATCACCTGCAAAAGGTCATCATAGCAATTATTTATTAATATATATATTAAGGCTGCAACTAAGGGTCATTTTTTAAAATAATCTTGGTATAATTACTGCTCTAAATTGGTTACTCTGTCAATTAAAGGCTGGTTTTTCAGTATCTATACTCCAGTTAACTATAACTATAAAAAAGGAGAAATTTTTGATCAAATGCTAACAGCTTTAAAGATAATTAGAAATCAAATACTGGAAAATTAGCTCAAACAAAGTCCTCTTCTTCTCCATAAGAAAAAAAAAAAGAAAAATCATCAAATAAATAAATGTAATCTAACAAAAACTTCCAACTGTTTTTAATATTCTTTTTTGTTGTTGTTGTTTCTGCATTTTTTATTTTATTTTATTATTTTTTTTTTTCCCCCGTTTGCTTTGATTCTGTTTTATCTTCCTGTATTTTAATCATGTAAAGCACTTTGCATTGTCTTTGTACTGAATTGTGCTATATAAATAAATTTGCCTTGCCTTGCCTTATAAATTGACTACTAAACGAGTTGAAGATTATTTTAATAATCGATTAATAACAATTGATCCAAACAATTGTTTCAGCCCTAATATATATTTATATTCTATTTATTTTATTACTAACTGGCTTATTCACAAAGATGTTTAAGAGAAAAAAGTCCATATTTTACAGCAGCTGTAATCATTCGCTGGTTTGAGTTCACTGGAAAATGTATTGGCTGAGGTCAAAAATGTATTCCTGACTCAGTTACACCAGTTCTTTCAAGAGAAATGGGTAAAAATCCCAGCAATCTACTTTGAGAGGATTATAGGAGATCCAAAACATTTGACAAGTCCTACAACCAAATACTTAAGAAGAGGAGGCAGACTTCTTAAATAAAAATAAAAATATTTAACTACACCACTATGATTGACAAACCTGTTCTCTGACATATACTATGCTGAAGTTATTTATGTTTTAGGTCAGTTTGGCTTAACTAATTATAATCATATAGAATATTAAGAATCTGGTTTCAACTGTATTTCTATATCTGATTGGATGGAATACTGATTGGATAAAACACCAAATAAAGTCATTTTGTGCTTAATTTGTATTACAGGTTTTATTTTAAGACTTTAATTTTACTTCTGAGGAAAGTTAAACAGAAAAAAGTACTCTGAATGCAAGATGAATCAGGCAGCAGTTCAGCTGGAGTCGTCAAGATAAAAATGAAGGGTTGGGGGGAGTTTTTAAGGAAATTGCTGATGAGGAATGGGTCTATCGAACGCTTGCCTTCCTAATGTAAGTCTGAATTTCTAAACTCAAACAGAACATGTAAATACTCAAAATACATATATATATATATAATTTCCTGATTTCAGTTTCATGGGCTTTTTTGTGGCACTTGCAAACCTCCCAACATGTTGTCCCCCTTTAATCCCCCCTCTCCCTCAGTCATTCTTTCCCACAGTTGCATCTTTCTCCTCTTCTCACCATCAAGTTTCAGTCCTCTTTGCTTTCTAAGTTTTTTCATGATCCTCCTGTCTTTCACTCTGTCCATCTGTGCAGTCTGTCTCTCAGTCACCCGGCGGTCCGTCTACACCTTGTCCAGCAGCGATCTCTGACAGTAGAGGAGGCGTCGGGGCGTGCCGTACTTCCTGAAGAACAAAAGTGCTCCTAGCGTGAGCAGCACAAGCACCAGCAGGAGAAGAGGAATCACCACGCCCGCCACCCAGGATCCTCCCTCCGTTTCTTCGATGATGATCACCGTCCGACCCTTCTTGGGCTCCTCGCTGTCGCAGCCCATCCAGTCGCGCAGCACCGACTTGGGGTAGCCAGACTCCACCTTCATGTGCTGGTTGTTGAACTTCCAGTACTTATTAGCCTTGTAGAAGTAGGTGTAAGCTAAAGGAATACAGACAATGATATTGGTTACATTTGATCAGTCAAAATTGAGGACACATTTATTTTATTCTTTGATAGTAAAATGCCTGCAAATAGATACAAAACTTACAACTATCTTCACTCATGAAGGCGGCTTTAATGTTATCTGGGGCTCCGCTCCACTTGCTGATGGGCTTCGGATAGCCCGTATGCACTTGGCGATTCTGCTCGTTGTAGCGGTAGTATCTACATGGAACAGTAATAATGAGCTATTAACATTGAAAAAACAACTATGGCTTTAACAGATGTATGTATGTAAAAACAACTGTTAATGTTTTGAAATCAAATGAGTTAAAGGGATTAAAGAGACATTTACAATGAATCCGAATGCATTCCCCTTTCCCCCTACCCTTTCATCATCCAGCCTAACCCAGCGTGATGGTGTCACCAGACACGCAGCTGCGGGGGGACAGAGGTCATGCAGCTTGCCAGTGAGGGGTTAGACAGCTTTTTCAGCCAGTGGGACTGGAGCCAAATGCCGGTTTAACATGCTTTTTCCAGTTGGAAAGAGGTTTTACAGAAACTTGGCTGCAGCAAGAGGATTACCAGGTCTTTACTCCGAATTTTTAAATGTATTTTCACAGTTCCTATCGGATTGGTGCTAAACACTGACAAGGTGGATTTTAACATCCATGCTGATATTAAAGTTGATAGCTTAAATGCATCCTTTAATTCTATCTTAGACCTGATTAGCTTTGTTCAAAATGTGAGTAGTCCCACACATTCTCATCTTCATACTTTGGACCTTAGGCTGACATATGGCATTGAATGTGAAGAAATAACAGTATTTCCTCACAACCCTGTCCTCTCTGACCACTTTTTAATAACCTTCAGGATTACTTCTCCTTCCTCACAAGAAGGTTTCACTTTAACAGATCATTTTCAGATAATGCAGTTTTAAAGGATCTCTTCCACTTTTTATCTCCTTTGTATCACTGAACAATACTGCAGAGGGCGAACATTTAAAGCTACAGTGTGTAATTTTCAGCGACATCTAACGTCCAGACTGCAGACTGCAGCAACATGAACATCTCCCCCCCACCGCTCCTCCCCCCCAAAAGTACGGCGAGCGTTACAGGACAAAATGTCTTCCACGACGTCCGCATCACCTACCTTCTCAAGTGATGAGGTTTGTTTACATAGATAATTTTACAGATAGTATTTCATTAGTCTGTGTATTCAGTACCGTCTCAGTTCATCTCTCTCAACTTGCCGTAGTTATTTTCGAGCGTAATGGGCGATCTCGTAATCGCTAGTTTGTTGGCTCTGCGCTGCCGTAGCGCAAAGATGTCTGCCTCCATGGCTGCGAGACCCGCTCCTATGTAATTATAAATAACGAATTCTAAGGCAACGCAAATATTAAGGTTAAGAGGCTGAGCTCGTAGATGATGATAAATAACATAGTTATGTATAATATATTACATTTCTGACTGTATATCCCTGTAATTATTACACACTGTAGCTTTAATTTATTTTCCTTCACAAATTGATGATTTTGTTGATGGTACCTAGTTCCCTGCGAACAGCCTTAGACAATGTAGCCCCTTTGAAAAAGAAAATGTGGCTCCTTTGTTTATTACAGAGCTACGCACTTTGAATGGAAAATGCAGGGTAAGTAAACCGTTTAGTTTTCCAAGAAAGTAAAAAAAAGTAAAAAAACAAACTGCTGTTTTTCAAGTCTGAAGACGTTTCACTTCCCATCCAAGAAGCTTTTTCAGTTATAAATGTCTGTATTGTTTTACTGTTTAAATAACCATTATTTGCCTAGATCAGCTCTAAACATATCTCTAGTCTTTATTTACTGTTTCAAAATTAAAATGAACACAATAAGAATTTTTTTTTTACAAGAAAGTAACAAAAGTGTGCATTAAGATGAAAAAATTAGACAATTTTTCCCCTTATCTCCATTGTTTATGTGGATGTAGCTTTACATTTTTTATTTTTTAGCAACAGGCACTTTTTTTTTAACATTTCAAAATGTCCATACCAATGATAAAGTAATTGGAGCAAATCTGTACGGGATTAGATAGCTTGTGCTTTCTCTAGATATTACCTCGCCACTTTTGTTAATGCTTGCTTACATTGACTTCCTCTCTTTCTCTGTATATAATGGAAACTTTTCTTTACTGTTTTGTTTGTGCATCCATTAACCCAACAATACCAACCCAACCATTTTGGTTCTTTTATGTGGGACAGAACGGTGACCGGGCTCCTTATGCATTCACAACAGCACTGTAGTGCTTCAGTACGCTGGACGTGATTTCAGGTGAGATTGACCTATTTAAAATGACCTGCTGTTTGAAAGGATGCATGATAACTTGTGTCCTAACATGATTCCAATGGTATTTGGGAGAGAAACAGACCCACCGAGTCACTGCCCTACATAGCAGTCGTAGCTCTGCTTCAACAGGAGGATTTGTCCACCAACACCTTACGAACGCCAACTGAATGTAAAAAAAGTTTGATTTTCTCCTGACCTTACGATTCCTAATCGGGAGGTGGTCCTGAGAGGCTAATCACCCCTCCATTATACCCGATATACTACACGATGCAGGACGCACTATGAGGCTGAAACTCGGCCTGATCGATACATTCTCACACGACTGGAGAATTGGCCGAAAAAGGGCAAAAAAAAAAATTGTACAGTGTATGTCCAGCTTTAACGAAAAGCTCTTAAGGACCTGATCCATTTCCTACAGCATTTAAAGGGCTCTGCACATTTACAAATGTCATAGCAGAAGTGAAATATTGTTTTCCCCTAGTAATTATGCTTTTATTGGTCTGATGTTAAATATAAAGATCTTCTAAATCCAAGAGGTCAATCTATGCATCAGCTTTCTGACACTAATTGTTTTCTTTCGTCTTTCCTGACCATCTTGCTCACTGTATGCAGTGACAGCATAAATACAGGCCCTCATCCAGTATATCTGACAGTTGGAACAGCAATGGACCGCAGTGCTAGATCATATTTATACTTCAGTAAAACAGGAAGTGATGGATTACTGTTAAAAAGTCCCTACATAGAATTTGCAAACAAAAAAAGCTTAGCTGCGTTTACTGTAAACAATTTTTTTAGGAGCAACTATCCTTTCATAATGTCTCACATTTATAAGCAAAATAACATTTCAGGGAGATTAATCTGCAGCAAAAAAATATGAATCCAGATATTTAGCAGGGAGGGCTATCCATATGGTTGATATTCAGAAATATTTAAAAAAAAAAGTTTTGTTAAGTTTCACTTTCACTGGAAACACTCAAAAGGACCCATAAAAACAGGGCTAAACTCACTGGGTTCCCTTGAAGAAGTACGTCTGTCCTGTCGGGGTGTAAAAGAGAGCAGCATCAATCTTGTCTCTAGGTAGGTCAGGGCCAAGCTCTTTCAGTCTCTTTGGGTAACCCTTATCCAAGGTGGCTTCACTGTAAACCCAGTAATTATCACCTAGACAACAAAAATCAACACAGTTAAAGAAAATAAAGAGTAAAAGTCAGGAGTAAATCTATCCTACATCTGCTTTTTGTTGTTTTCTTTACCCTTAAAGAAGACAAACTTTCCATCGCTCCTCTCATAAGCTGCATTGATGTTTGAAGGAAGGCCTTTCCAAAACTGAGCAGTGGGTCGGGGGTACCCGGGTAAGACCTTGTCATTACGCAGGCGCCAAAACCACTTGTCCTGCAAAAGACAGATAAATAGAGTTTCATTTTGTTTTCTTTTCTGTCATTAAATATGATCCTACTGTTGTTATTGGTGATGCTTAAAGACTCAAAGGAACCAGAATAAGTAAGAGTTTGAAATGACAACTACGGCTTTAAAAACAGGAATAAAAGGCTTCCTGTACCTTAAATACAAACTTCTCCCCTCTCAGGATGGCGATAGTGTCAAAGTGTCCCTCACAGATGTCGGGGCCTTCATCAGGCTTGTCAGGCTTAGACGGCCTTGTGGGACGAGGGGGAGGAGGGGGGACTCCAGATTTAACACCTGTAAAGAAATAAACGAGAAATAGTTTAAAAGATTCCCTGACTTTAGGTGAAACTTGACAGATGAGGGAGGGAAAGAAAGAAGTAAGGAAAGAGAGGAAATGCAGAAAGATATGAAGGAAATTTGAGGTAAAAAGAAAGACTTTAAGTTTTAATGACTCATTTAAAATAAACAGAATACCCTTACAATCCAAATGTTGTTTCAGAACCCCCAGCTTATCCATTTTGAAATAGTATTTATATTCTAACATTACTCTCACTCTAACCAAACTCTTAAAAAGCGTTTACATAATTAGTTATTTGTTTTTCCTGTCCAAGTAAATTGTCAGTTTAGTTTTACCAAGGTATCATCCTTTTTAACTTTCATGCCTTATGAAAATTCAAAACTAAAAGACTGCTCCTTCTCCAAAGATTCTGCAAATGTCACTAATTAGTGCACATAAAATAAAGAGAGAAAGAAAGAAAGAAACAAACAAAAAGAGACAGAAGGTGAGAAATAAAGTAAGAGGGGCAAGGAGGGAATAACACAGGGAGAAAAGCAACAGGAGAAAAGGAAACACAAGGGTTAGACGGTGAGATAGAAATGTTTTCCATTTTCATATATATAATATATAGATTTTTTTTTTTATATTCTGAATATTAACTGAAAAGTGCATCATTCTGTCAACAAACCACCAACCATAGATAGCCTGGATGCCTCTGCGGTCATCGTCCGGCAGCTGGAAGTTTTCCGTTTCGAACCACTGATAGAAGGGAGCCATGATGGCTGAAGGGTCGTCTGAGTGCTCCAGACCCAGAGCATGACCGAGCTCATGGACCGCCACCAGAAACACATCATTCCCTATAGAGAGAGATAAAATGCTGTGAGATGGAGTGATGTATTTCATTTGTAAAGCAGGAGCACCTTGTTTCTGTCTTACCTCCCTGATCCACTCTCCCTGTGGTCCACGGTTCAGCAAGGTCAAAGTGTGTGTCTCCACCGATGCCATTACCAGGGAAGTAAGCGTGTGCCAGGAAGCCACCCTCTCCATCAAACGGCGTGCTGTCGCCGTGAAAACCGTCGGCAAAGGACAACATGATGTCTGCATACTTGTCAACTTTGCCCCTGATTTGGCTGAAGGGGATCTCTCTGAAGGTGAGGGGGATGGCGTTCTCCCACACCTTGAAGGCCTTTCGGATGGCCTCATATGTGGCTCTTTCACCCACTTTGGGGGTGTAGTTCTCTATGCTGTGAGGGAAAGCAAAGCAGGAATGGTTTCAGACTTAAAACCTGAAAATTATTCATTAGATATTTTATTTAGGGGCGTTTCTTTGACCTTAACCACCAAGGCATCTGTATTTGCACCAAACATATAAAGAAGATAATGAGTGTAGCTCCTGACCTGAAAGTGACCTCAGACTTGTCCCACTTCAGACCTTGCCTCGCATATCTCTTCCTCCTCAGGTTAGTTTTCAGCTCTGGACCAAACTTGTCTGGGACTCCACAGCGCGGCCGACTCATGGCTCTGCAAAAGGCATAAATAAAGTTACACCTCTAATAATTAAATGATTTAAACTGATTTAAAAACACAACTAAATTCATTTTTGGTCTAGACTTTCCCAGTTTTTTTTTTTTTCGCAACCCGTAAATTGTTCTGATTATCAGCTCTACAAAGACTTACAGATGTCGTTATATTACAAGAATACAATTTTATTTTGTTTTTTAATTATGCTTTACCACCTAAAAGGCCCAGTATCACCAACTAACTTGAAATAGAACAGAAAAAAATCAAATAAAGCGGAAAGAAGCCATTCATCTAATTTCTGATTTAACATATGGATATGATAAACACATCTAAGTACATCTTTAAGGCTTCACGACAATATGACATTTTAAAAGAAAATACTCAATACATCTCTGAACGACTGGTAATCAGGGAGCACTTACTCTATGGTGTTGGTATCTATGGTTCCAGTGACAGTCAGTCCGTAAAACCTCTGCATGGCTGAGATCGCTGTTTCAATAGACTTGGGAGAGCGGATAGCCTGGGCTCTGACATCACCAGGAGGCAGGTAGCCATACTGCTGCAACCATGCCTACAAAGGGAGGCGTCAACAAGACAGCAAAGAAGGGAGAAAGACTGATTAGACAAAAACCTCATTCACTTCATTACAAAATGTATATTAAACTGATTTCAATGACAGAAAATAATAATCTCCCTTTTCATTTGAGTTGACACAAATCCCTAAACTTTCAACAGATGCAGGATGAGTATTTGAACCCGGGGTTAAATCATAATTTAAAAATTCAATATCACTAGTTACAACCAGGCATGATCCAGCTATCCATCCCTGTTTACTTGCAGTGTCACACGTCTGATGGATTTCCTCTAGTGGTTATTGGGCAAGAGGCAGATCCTCAGACTCCCTATTCACCACAGGGAAAACATCCAGACAAATGATCCTGCATATACACTTCAGGAAAACTTAGAGCAATTAAATGAACCTCTTTTGGACTGCAAGGGAAGCCAGTGTTCTCTGAGATAATCGACGGATTCAAAGGAAAACCCTGAAAAATCCCCATGGAAAGAATCAATGCTGGGATTCTCAACCAGGATCTTCTTGTTCTTTGAAACAAGCTTTATTGCAATCTGCCTGACAAGACGAAGCAGGCCAAAAGGTCTTAAAAAGCAACACTCCATTCCCCAATCTTAAGCTGTTCAAAAACAGACCAGAAACAAAGTGATTAAAATCTATTTAGCTGGAAAAGATTAGAAATTCTAAGGCTTTAAAGGGAAAGAAACTGATCTAATTAATAGCATGCAATAAGGAAAACTTCCCATTAATGGACAGCCTACCAAAGCTATTGCATCAGCATCCAGGAGGTTGCAAAAGTACCAAGAACAACATCTAAAGCACAGAAGGACCCATTTGCTTCAGTTACCAAAATGAGAAAGAAAGCAAAACCCTGATTGACCAAAACAAACACAAATGAAGGTATACGATTAATACAAATATATAAATAAATCACATTATGTCTCCGTATACATATAGAGACATAGTGATTATTTGTTTTTAAATCTTAGGATTAAATCTTCAAACTCATTTATGTCTTAAAAGCAGAAGAAATACAAAAAAATCTGAGAAAATACACACAGATCCCCTGTCCTTTAAATGTTATTGACTCATTTTGTTGGGTTATATATATTAGCATATATGTCACCATATTTGGAAACGGTAGTCCTGTTTTCGAAAGTGATTGCAAATAAGTTTTACACATCAACAAACGACTCAATTAGAGTTGGCTAGTACGACCAAAACTTATATCACAATATTTTTCTTACTTTATGCTGGTACAATAGTTCTTTGTCTAAATGTGTGCCTTTTTGGTAAATCAATCATATGCTAGAAATGACATTTATGTTCTTTTGCAGCTATAGAGGAGTTTGGTTTCAACTTTGAGCATCTCAGAATTGTCTGGTCCTGCTTTTTCAACTCCAATTAATTATGCAAACTTCATGGGGATGCAAGCAAACAAAGTGTTGTAACAGCTTTTAACCAACACCAGCATATAACTAAGAATGCTTGATTTATAACCGTATTCCTCTTGTGATTCAGACCTAACCCTGTTTACAAACTCTTTAAAGCGACACCGGCTTCTAAAATGTTCCTGTGATGATATTAAACTTGTTGAGAGAGACTTTATTGTGGGTTAGAAGGAGACAGAAGAACCAAAGCCAAATAAAACACACACTCAGCAAACACTGATGTCATTTTAGTCACGATGACCCAGAAATCTGTCTAGACAATCCTTGCCAAAGAAAACTGGGCTGGTTGATGGTGGAAAAATGAACATTTCAGCAACATTTGAGTTCTTCAAAGCTTGACCTTAAGCTGTACCAGCTACCATCTTTGTCGGCTGTCCTGTGTCTACGTGTCAGCTTTAACCACAACTATTTTTGTTCACACATACAATGGTTAGGCTTATTTTCCACAGTTTACTGTTGGTGGTCTACCAAGAAACAGCCAAAGAAGAAAAGAGTTTCAGATTCAAAGAAATGTAGAATTAGCCACCCCCAGGAACAGTCAGGACTCAGCGAGCCTAAAAGTATAATCTGAAAAGTGCGGTGTGTCTTAGAACTTCTAGTTAACGCGACTTAAAGTTCCTTTCAATCAAGACTAAAAACACAATTGTTTAGGATTGCCTTCGACTGTTCTGGTTAAAAAGTTTAACTGAAACATCATTAGTTCATTTTTTCTTTATTTTCTTTAGTCCAACTGCTTTTAATGTTCTTTCTTCTATTTATTTATTTTTGTTTCTTCTACTTGCTCTGATTCTTTTTTATTTTCCTATATTTTAATCATGTAAAGCACTTTGCATTGTTTTGTACTGAATTGATCTATACAAATACATTTTCCTTGCCTTGCCTTGCCTTAAAGACACCTTTCTTTCTAGTTAAACTACAAGTTTTTTGAAGTATCTCCATTAGTTTTGAACATCTAGAGAAGAAAATATTTATCCATTATTTGAGTATGAATGCAGACTTAGTCGGCCTGGAAAGATAGTGCCTATGAATATCCGTTTTTAAAAAAAGTCTTAATACCCTGAAAAAAATAATGCAACAACTTTTGGTATCTACTAAATCATATTTATTTCCTTCATTGTTTCATGTCCTACCCTGCTAACATGAAACTATTGCGTTGAAGTAACTCAATATTATTAACTAGATGCAAAAACGATTGCTTTATCTTTTTCAGTGTATAATTTATGTCTAAACTTTGATTCTTCTATACTAATAGATGATTATGCTTTGATTTACACCATTTCATTGTAGCTCCTGTTATATATTTGAAAGTTTATGTTAGAGATCAATCTACAAGTTTTTTTTAAGGTTGATGCATATAGTGATTACTTTAAATAAGTCTACCTGACCCCTGATATGTATCGACAATATTTTTTAGCTGATTCTTTGCTCCAATATTGCTTTTTCTTCCTCCGATTACATGATAAAAATGGCACAATAATAACAAATGTAAAACAGGTCTCAATTTTAACAAAATAGAAATATCTAGCAACAAATCAAACAAAAAATTACAAATTTTTAGAAAATAGACGGGAGTGGAAATGAGTGCACTCCACACCATCTAAAAGCATGGCTGCTGAATGCACTTGTGCATTGGCTAATGCATGCATGCAACTGCTGATACAAATACAAAAAAAAAAAAAAAAACTGCTAATATTGCACAAAAATATGGTTCGGTCAATGTATCATCTATCTTTACTCATTGTTTTCTGCTTTCCTGATGCAGGCACTGCTGATCTCAGAGCACTTTCTTCCACTTGTTTTCTGTGTTCCCTATACTGTTTTCTTTAAGTTGCATTTGTCATTTTTCCATTAAAGCCAGGTTTGTGCTGTCTTTCCACTGAGTTAACACATATTTGCATCTTTGCCACAAATTAATTGATGGGATTCCGATGAATGCTTTCTTTAGCATCATCTAAACCTCAGCTATTACCCTTTTTCCACCATATGTGCTGCTTTTCTCTTCAGGCTCATCTCCAAAAACAAAAAAAAAGTGAAGCAGGAGGGAAGTGGATGGAAATGTAGAAACTGGGTTGAACTATCAGGCCAAAGAGTACACAACCTGTGCACACACAGCTACTGTTAGTCATGTGGTGGGAAGCGAGGCCAGAGAACAAGGTTCATTTATGATAGGCTGCAGAGGGGCACCTAATCCCCCTTCTCTCTCCCACTCCCACTTATTCAGTCTAACAAGTTCTCTGGGATTTCTCAGGATTATTTAAGCACCTACTAAATCTAATTCATCCACTGACTCTAACACGTTTACTTTCTCTGTCTCCGAGCTGACTGCACCTAGTGTGTCCTGTGGCTCCAGTCTGATGACGTGTCCGCTTCTATAAAAACACCCTTCCCACAAACCATCAAGACCTCCACTTCTCTCCACTGCTCCCAAACTACTCTGCACACCGCCGCCACCTCCGGTTGGCCTTCCAGGTATCCCAGCATCCTCCCCCTTCTCTGGAACTCCCAGCAGCCTCCATCAAAGCTCCTATTTATCCAGGCTTTTACATGGCTGCCATTGTTGGCCAGATAGCTTACTACACAGCCATGTGTGGTCAAAGGGCTGGCTGCTAGTTTGGTAAACACAACCCTGGGTCTTACTCTGGCATGTGGTCTGGATATATATAATGCACCAGCATGAAAAAGGTCCAATCTGATGTACAGATGCAAGCAGGGACTCTTCTAAGATGTACAGGACAGTGGATGGAACTGAAAGTAACAATCAAATGTATGGATGGCATTTTTTATGCAAATAAGATTCAGTATAAATAAAGAATATCTTATGTGCTTTTTGGTTTATGTAGAAGCATACATATTTTTTAAAGATTTCCATCTTAAATTTTCACTTTATATCAATATAATGTAAAGCCTTGACACTTTAAATCACAGTTATAAAACTATGGAAATTTCCTACCATCTTTTAATTATCTTGGTTTTAAAGCTGCGTTAGAGACTTTAAATGGCTGGCTTACAGTCTGGTTTGCTTAATCCATCTAAATATCTATATACTTTCACACTCCTTTTTCTAGATTACAGCAAGTTTTCTGCTTAAGTTAAACTATAAACCCTTTTTCCCAACATATGTACATTTTTATTGCATAAGACCAGTTTTATTTTTTTTTCTAAAATAAAAAATAAGAATTGAAGCTAATTGATTTCACAATGGAGAAATTAACTTTCTGCATTTAACACATCCCGTTTGGGGAGCAGTGGGCTGCCTCTGTGCAGAGCCCAGGGAGCGATCAGGGGTTAAAGGTACTGCTCAGACACCCATAGTGGCAATCTGTGGGAGTGGGTTTCGAACTCACAACCTCAGGATTCCAAGCCCTATGCCAAAACAACTAGGCTGCCCCTCCACCCATAAAAGTGTCAAATTTTTCTAGTTAATATTTGCACTAATTAACATCACTCCTGTAAAATTTTCCTTTAATTAATTAGAAGTTACTGATTACAACTTTAGATTTATAGACTGGGGTTTTATTCGCCTTTAGGGTATTAAATGAGTTTGTTTTC